GCGTATAACATCAAAGTACCGCAAGAGCGTTTGAAGAGCAGACGACTCTTTATGCTTTTGAATTGTTCTCGCGATACTTTGATGTCGTGTTGAGGTTGTGTTAGTCGCGCTCTCACAGACCGTCAAAGGTTTCTGTTTACAATATGAAATCTGTTGATTTCTTGAACGCAATGGTCAATCAAAGACGTTTCGGTTAGAATCACTAAACGCTCAACAAGCAGTTTATATACAGGTATGTATATATATATATATATATATATATATATATATATATATATATTCTTTAAAAAAAAATTCCAGTACTGAGTTCTATGTGAGTTCTAAATTGAGGTCCCCATGGGTAAACAAGCTAATAAATCATACATAATGAGTTTTTTTTTTAATGTTTTCTGTAAGGGGTAGGTTTAGGTGTAGGGTGAAAGAAAATACGGTTTCTACAGTAAAAAAAAAGGCAAAAAACATTACGCCTATGGAGAGTCCCCACAAGGATAGCAAACCTGTGTGTGTGTGTGTGTGTGTGTGTGTGTGTTTGTGTGTGTGTGTGTGTGTGTGGGTGTGTGTAAAAATTCATTAGGCAAAAATGAAAGAAAAAAAGCATCTGGCCAAAAAAAAATGTTCATGACTCCTGGGGTAGACGAAGCTGGAAATGATTCATTGACACAAGGGACAAGCCAGAGCAGTTTCCAGTTACTCAATGAGCAAACAGAGACATCTAGTGGCATCTTCCTACGCCTTTTAAAAGCTCGATAATTAGGCTACTCTGAGCTAATATTATTACCATAGCAACTGAATCTATCCATGTTCTTCTATTTTTGGAACCCACACAACATAAGATGTGAGCCCACTTATCTTCATTTCCCTTTCGTGCATCTTAAAGGGAATTTACTGTAGATGAGTCTGTCATTAGTTAAAGCATGATATTTCTATCATATGCATTAGTTTGTATATTAAGTTTATTATTAAAATTATGGGAGTGACACTGTAGTGCTCAATGCAAATTAGCACGTTTCCCATATACACTACAAAATAATTTACAAATGCCTCTTACATTATATATATATATATATATATATATATATATATATATATATATATATATAATCCACAACATCATGTTTTCATCTTGAGTCAAAATTGTTGAGAAGTGCAAGTGCCATTTCTGTTTTATAATAGCACTTAGCAGAGGATTTTCGACTGCTTGTCAGTGTTCCACTAACTGATTGTCAGTTATACTGTAGATAGATGATAGAGGGTAATGAACAGTATGCAGTTGTGATTGAGGGGAAACTCAATGAGACTAATAGCAGTCTGCATAGTTGTAATATGTATACTCTTTTTGTTTTATTTAATTGTATTCACAGATATGGTGAACAATATAAAGTAGTTTGTATTATTATTACTCAAAGAAGAAAAAAAAATGCCAATGAGCATTTTTTATACCCTAAGATTAGCAAGTACTTTAACGGCATTTAAGTCAGCACAGACAGCCAGTACAGCATATGTGTGGAGTGGCAGTATAGCAATATACCAACACCAAAATATATATATTTTTGAAATTCAAATTGAGCAGAAAGTAAAAAAAGAAACATAAATATGCATAAATGTAGGCTTGTATAAAAACGATGTATTGTAGGAAAGAATGGGGTTTAAACTTTGCAGTGAATTTTAGTTGGTTTATTTGAAATGTCAATATATTTCATACTTCAAAACAGATACAGATAGTATCGGTCGCAGAAAAGATATGAAATATGTCCTGTATGCAAAAGATACAGTTCTTTAAATACATGTTATGTAATATCTTTGGAACTTTTGTGACATTTATAAATATGCTTGTCTTGTAATTAAAGGAGATGGACTTCAGGAGTATGATCCTCTCAATATTAGACACTATTAAACCATCTTTTACAATTTGAAGCCATCACATACAGATTTCTGTCATTTATTAAACAGAATGTAATGTTCTACAGTGAGACAACAAAACAACAGCGACCACGAAACGCCAGATTCCTTTATCAACTCTATTTCTAATACTAGCTCATTTGTGTAATGTCAGTAACCAGTATTGCAAAGAAAATTAATTGGGTTTAAGCTAAAGAAGCCAGATGATGGAGTATGAACTTCTAGATTCTGCATGCCAAATAATATATTCACCAACAAATATACAGTATGTGCAAAACCAAAATCTAACTTACTTTGACTAGAAACTGATACACTTCAAGAGAACACTATTAATTTGATGGATTTCTCTTTCTTTCTTTCTTTCTTTCTTTCTTTCTTTCTTTCTTTCTTTCTTTCTTTCTTTCTTTCTTCCTTCCTTCCCCTTTCTTTCTTTCTTTTTTCTTTCCCCTTTCTTTCTTTCTTTCTTTCTTTCTTTTTTTCTTTCTTTCTTTCTTTCTTCTTCCTTCCTTCCTTCCCCTTTCTTTCTTCCTTCCCCTTTCTTTCGTCCTTCCTTCCCCCCTTTCTTTCTTTCTTTCTTTCTTTCTTTCTTTCTTTCTTCTTCCTTCCTTCCCCTTTCTTTCTCTTTCTTTCTTTCTTTCTTCCTTCCTTCCCCCCTTCTTTCTTTCTTTCTTTCTTTCTTCTTTCTTTCTTTCTTTCTTTCTTTCTTTCTTTCTTTCTTTCCTTTCTCTTTCTTTCTTTCTTTCTTAGTACAGGGATTCAAACTGAACTGATGACTCTGCTTTCTTGTCCTCTGGCCTCTAACCAGCTCTTTTCTTTTTTTCTCTCTTAGAGCACCTGGAGAAGATGAGGGAGGGACTTATGCAGGAATAGAAGACTCTCAGGAGGTGTGCACCACGTCCTTTTCCACCTCCCCACCTTCGCAGGTAATGCCGTCTCTATCACCTTTCCATCTGTCCCATTGAATATAACCCTTCACCACCTTCCTTGTACGAGCCAGGCTTCAGTACAGGTGCAGTGCAGCCTGTCATTAAGAGATTAACTGTTAACCTCTCACAATGAATAAGCTGTTTTCATTCATGAGTCTCTTTCAGCAGTTCCCTGATGAACAGGTCTCATTCTATAAATGTGATTATAGTTTTTCATATTCCTCCAGCCATGAATATGATTTGAGATTGCTGCTAAGTACAGTACATTTCCTCCCTATACTTAGTTGTTTTCTTTTCATTTTTTTTCTTCTTTTTGCTGTGTTTGTTTAGTTTGCTGTCTTGATCAGTGTTGTTTTTGTTAGCTAAATTCACTAAATGACAAAGCTGAAATAAACAAAGGCAAAATAAAACATAAAATTAATATATATTTTAAAAAGTATATAAATAATACTAAAATAATACTGGTCTTGGTGTACTTGCTTCAGTACAAAAGTGTTCAAAAATCTTCAGACTAGTGTTAAAGTCATTTGTGTGACCATGGAATCAGTTTCTCTCTTTATTTTCTCTTTCTTTCTTTCTTTCTTTTTTCTTTCCCCTTTCTTTTTTCTTTCTTTCTTTCTTTCTTTTTTCTTTCCCATTTCTTTCTTTCTTCTTCCTTCCTTCCCCCCTTTCTTTCTTTCTTTTTTCTTTCCCCTTTCTTTCTTTCTTTCTTTCTTTCTTTCTTTCTTTCTTTCTTCCCCTTTCCTTCTTCCTTCCTTCCTTCCCCCCTTTCTTTCTTTCTTTCTTTCTTTCTCTCTTTCTTTCTTCCTTCCCCTTTCTTTCTTTCTTTCTTTCTTTCTTCCTTTCTTCCCCCTTTTCTTTATTTCTTTCTTCCTTTATTTCTTTATTCCTTTCTTTCTTTCCACTTTCTTTCTTTTTTTCTTTCTTCCTTTCTTTCTTTCCCCTTTCTTTCTTTCTTTCTTTCTTCTTTCTTTCTTTCTTTCTTTCTTTCTTTCTTCCTTTCTTCCCCCTTTTCTTTATTTCTTTCTTCCTTTATTTCTTTATTCCTTTCTTTCTTTCCACTTTCTTTCTTTTTTTCTTTCTTCCTTTCTTTCTTTCCCCTTTCTTTCTTTCTTTCTTTCTTCCTTCCCCTTTCTTTCTTTCTTTCTTTCTTTCTTCCTTTCTTCCCCCTTTTCTTTATTTCTTTCTTCCTTTATTTCTTTATTCCTTTCTTTCTTTCCACTTTCTTTCTTTTTTTCTTTCTTCCTTTCTTTCTTTCCCCTTTCTTTCTTTCTTTCTTTCTTTCTTCCTCTCTTTCTTTCTTTCTTTCTTTCTTTTTTTCTTTCTTTCTTTCTTTCTTCTTTCTTCCTTCCTTCCCCTTTCTTTCTTCCTTTCTTTCTTTCTCTTTCTTTCTTTCTTTCTTTCTTTCTTTCTTTCCCCTTTCTTTCTTTCTTTCTTTCTTTCTTTCTTTCTTTCTTCCTTCTCCTTTCCTTCTTCCTTCCTTCCTTCCCCCTTTCTTTCTTTCTCTTTCTTTCTTTCTTTCTTTCTTTCTTTCTT